AGTACAACGATTACAGATCGACTGTCTACTCTAGATTAATATCAATTACACGATGCGACACTTGTTAACAAAAAAGGAGATGTGCCGCAGGCACATAGCTCCCCCCTAAAAATTGACAAAAGAGAAAATATTGTTATTACTTGCTAATTACTAGAGATACTATGAGATACATTTTATTTTGATTAAACATTCTAACTGTTAATACATACTTATAGGTAGCACTTAGAGTCCATTAATAGGTACACTAGTACTTATCACTTTCACTGATTATTGCCTTTACACTGATACTGACTCTTTGCACTGATACATATTTGCACTATTCATTATGCTATCACTTGCGCAGCGAAACCGTTTTGGCCTCGCTCGTATCTCGCGGCTGGTACCTCCGCTAAGTTTCTCCTTAAGTATCTACCATAGCGATCCTTGCAACGTATCCACAGGAAGTACATAATTACACTCCCTAGCATTACTATGGTGAGTATCCCATACATCTCTGATTTCTCCATGAAACCAGTAGACGCGGCTGTACTAGCCGAATTTCCTGCACCGTTTTGGGCCACGATAATTTCTTCCTTCGTATGCTTACCGCCCATTGTATTTTTTGAGAGTAATTTGTACAGGTGATATAAAATCATATGCACTTAATGAACTGGTCAGAAGTTGAAATGGACTACTGGCTTAATGATTCGGCCTGATCTCGTACGTCGTTCGCTGTTTAGATTCGCCTCTCCCTTATATGGAATACTTGCATCTTGATACGATTCGTTTGCAATAACAAAGGCTGGTTTCAGACGATCGATACTTATATTTCTGGTTTTACCATCACACATTACTTTATAATATTTATCATCTTTTTCTATAACCTGATAAGGTCCGGAATATGGTGGCGTCAATGGCTTGCTCACCTTATCACATCGTATAAAAACTTGATTGCAATTTCTTAATTCTGGATGTACAAATATTTGACTTTGCTTCAAATCTCGTCTCGGAACAGATGATATTTTTCGAATCCTTTGCCGTAACTCTTGTAAGAATACGTCATTCTCGGAGACTTCTAGCTTTGTATGCGTAAAGAAATCTCCGGGCAATCTTAACACCTCACCGTACACCATTTCAGCTGCGCTAATGTTGGTATCGCAACGCAATGTTGCTCTTAACCCCAGAAGCACTGTGGGTAATTCGTTCACCCAGTCTTCAGTGTTACCTCTGCACATCAAGGCGGATTTTAATGACCGGTGCCATCGTTCAACTGCCCCGTTTGACTGTGGATGGTACGCTGTAGTCCTAAGCTTATTAATGCCCATTCGTTTGGAAAGTAATGCAAATAAGTTGGATTCAAACTGTCGGCCTTGATCCGTAGTTATCTTTAGCGGACAACCGAATCTCGCAATCCAGCCTGAGTAAACCATTTCTGCGACAGTTTCTGCAGTAATATCCTTTATTGGGAATGCTTCTGGCCATCCAGTGGTTCGATCTAACATGGTTACTAAATATCTGTATCCTTTACAGTAAGTCAACGGACCTACGATGTCTACATGTAAGTGGTCGAATCGCTTACATTTTTCAAAAATACCGATTGGTGAAATAGTGTGTCGCTGAACCTTAGATTTTTGACATTCAATGCAAGACTTAGCCCAATTAGAAACATCTTTGTTCATCGATTTCCAAAAGTAGCGATCGCATATCATCTTTCGTGTTGTTCGTATCCCTGGGTGGCCTATTCCGTGAATAGCGTTGTAGGCTGTCATACGAAACTCGGCCGGCAAATATGGTCGCACCTTATTTGTAGATACTTCGCAGTATATTGGTATGTCATTGTTAGGTAATAACATTCTTTTAAAACTTAAATTTTCTGAATTCATTAGGTTTTGCAGCTCTTGATCATTTTCCTGTGCTTTCGAGAGTTCTTCGTAGTCAATTGGCGAAGGAGTACTAATAGATGAAATTCTAGATAAGGTATCAGCCACAATATTATCGGCACCGTTAACGAACTCTACCACCACACAAAATTGTAGAATAAAATCTAAGTGTCTCAGTCGTCTCGGGGTGTCGTGTTTACCAATGCTGTTATTCTTAAAGGCGTGTACAAGTGGTTTGTGGTCTGTGTACACGGTTAACGGTCTTCCTTCTATTAAATATCGGAAATGTTTGATTGACATATAAATAGCCAATAATTCACGGTCGAATGTGCTATATTTTTGTTGCGCGCTACTTAATTTCGCAGAGAAAAAGGCTAATGGCTGCCAGGTGTCATTAACACGTTGCTGCAACACCGCTCCGGCACATGTGGTAGACACATCCGTCATAAGAGCTATAGGTACATCAGCTCGAGGGAATGATAATGTAACAGCGCTTTGTAAGCTTGCCTTACATTTCTCAAATGCTTCAATAGCTTGCTCAGTCCAATCAATAGGGGTTTTGTCCTTTTTCTTCGAATCATGTAAATACTCGTTGAGAGGTTTCTGAATCTCTGCTGCGCGGGGTATGTGTCGTCTGTAAAAATTTATCATACCCAGAAAACGACGTAACTCTTCGACTGTTCCTGGTCGCGGAAATTTCGATATGACGTCTACTCGATCATTTAGTGGACGAAGACCTTTATCAGAAACTTGAAAACCGAGAAATTCTAATTCAGTTTTTCCAAACTCACACTTTGCTAGATTTATCGTGAGTCCCCATTGATTCAAACAGTCAAAAACTTTACTTAAGTGTGCTTCATGCTCTGACTTTGAAGATGATGCAATAATTACGTCATCGATGTATGCAAAAATGAAGTCTAGATCTCGAAATACATTATTGTTAAGGAATCTTTGAAATGTTTGAGCAGCGTTTCTCAATCCAAAGGTCATCCGGTTGAACTCAAAGAGTCCAAACGGAGTTGTAATCGCTGTTTTCGGAATATCTTCTTCCCTGATACTTAAATTATGATAGGCACGCTGAAGATCGATACGAGAGAATATGCTTTTTCCTGCTAACAGGTATGTACAATCCTGGATTCGTGGTATTGGGTATCTATCGGGTTTGGTGATGCTATTCAAACGTCGATAGTCGCCACATGGTCTTAGCTCTCCGTTTTTCTTGATGACCACATGTAACGGGCTTGCCCAACAACTTTTCGATGGCTTGCATATTCCCATGTCAACCATTCGCTGAAACTCGGCCTTGACCCTGTCATACTTATCAGGTGGCAATGGCCTCGGTTTTGCAAATACAGGTGATCCTGTTGTTTCTATGTAATGCTCTACAGAATGGCATGGAGTCTCCTTGAAGCACATAGGTTTTGTTATATTTGGGTATTCTGACAATAACGCATTATATTCACAAGAAGAGTTATCTGTTCTTACTGATGGTTCATCCCATAAACTCAACGTGGCAATTGTACACATATTAGTTACTTTATCTATCAGTTTCTTTTGGTTAATGTCTACTAGTAACTTATGATAGCCTAAAAAGTCAGCACCTAATATAGGTCGTTTAACATCGGCGAGCACAAACGTCCAACGATACGGTCGTCGTAACTTAAAGTCTAAATCGAGAGTTTTTGTGCCGTAAGTTGTAATTTCACTGCCATTAGCTGCATACAGTTTATAGTTGTTAAACACATTTTCACCAAAAAGTTTTTTTTTATATGGTAAAACAGAAATGTTCGCACCAGTGTCCACTAAAAAATTTAGTCCGGTGATCATATCGTTGACACATAAGCGGTGAGCTGGTGTTATCGTGCTAACCTCCGCTGGCGGTTGCACCACGCTATTCAGTTTCCCTGTTGGTTGTTTTTCTTCCACGCACACGGCTCTACACATTTCTGTGCTCTATTACGAAACTTGTGATGATAGTAACAGAGCCAGTCAGCACTTTCTGGCGTGCGCTTCGTAGAATTTCTACCTCGAGACGCGGAACGATAACGATGCATACGGGAATTATTTCTAAACCTTGACCTTGCTCTCTGCATCTCATTCATTTGAAGACTCAATTTAGATATTTCGGACAAAATAAATGCTGTGTCATTGCTACTAGAAGTCGTTGCTTGTATCTCCGCTATATCGTTTAAAGGTCTTGTAGTTTCCATTATCTTATCTGCTACCGCCGCCAATTTCTCCAAATCTTTCATCTCGCTGACCGCTAACACTGCTCGTACCGCCGATGGTAAGTGACCTTGCCACATGATTATTAGTGTTTCGTCCGGAATTTTGCCTCGCGCCAGATCTTTCATGCGCCTTAAAAGCTGTGAGGGTTTCTGGTCTCCGAGTTGCATTTCTGAGAGAAGTTTTTGAAATTGTCTGTTTTCCGATTCTTCGTAGGCCACCAACAAACGAGCCTTGAGCGTTTCAAACTTTTTGTTTTCTGGAGGCTTCAACAAAATGTCGCTAACCTGCTGGATAACGTCTTTGCCAAGTTTTGCCACAACAAGATTGAATCTAGCTTCGTCGCTGAGTTTTTGTGGACCTAAAATAGCTTCACACTGCACAAACCATAATCTTGGCTGATCACACCAAAATTCTGGTATTCTTGATGAAATTGTCACAGTAGCCAACTCTACAGCCTCGTTCAGGATTGTGGACGAGGTTGTCATCTTGCTTTGTTGTGCAGTTGGGTTGCTCATTGTGTATTCTTGTGAGTCGATTCTCGTCTGGTCGACGGACAGGTCTGCATGGACTGCAGGATCACGTCGGGGTCACCACTTTGGGGACTTGGTGCTCTTCAATGAAATGCCGATTATATGATGTTATATAATTAACACAATACACATGTTTTCAGTACAACGATTACAGATCGA